GGACTGCGCTTCGTGTTTATGACTGCCTGTGTGTGTGTGTGTGTGTGTGTGTGTGTGTGTGTGTGTGTGTGTGTTCCTCTCTCCTCCCCCTCTACGCTCTTGCTGATGGGAGGGGCTGAGCCAAGCCAATGCTCCCCCCCACACACACACACACCAGCATCTACTCCCTGCCCCAGTCAGGGAGCCATTATCTGCTTGGGGAAGGCACAGGAAGGGGGCACAAACCCCACAACAAGGGGGAGGCACACAGGCTGGACTTCAGAGGGAGCCCAGGGACCTGGTCAGCCCCCCCCCACCCAGTCTCCACGTGGGAATCCCAGCACCTCCGCACACACACACACACACACACACACACACACACAGGTTCCACTTGGGCTACTGTGGCTCAGCGCTGCGGGCAAAGGCGTGCCACGCAGAGCCCCAAAATTTATCTGGGCATGGAAGCCAGAGCCGGCCGGTGTCTCTCTCCAGCACCCAGCATGCAGTGCCTGTGCTTCGTACCCAGCATGCACGGAGTTCACGGAATGCCCAGTCGCAAGGTGGGGGTGGGGGTCGGGCACGGGCTGCTAGTTCACCTAGAGAAATGGGGGGGGCAGTTTGTCTATCAGCAATTATCAGACGTGACAGACAAATGGAATCCCCGCACTCAGAGGCAGCACCCGATGGATGGATGCCCGTTGCCAAGGAGTGGAGGCGAGTGGGAGGCCGGCGTCCCAGAGGGGTCTATGTCTGGCCGCTAATGTGGAAACATAGCTGGAGCGGACAGGCCTTTTTCGCCCAATCAAGGAGCAATTTTCTTTAAAAGAAAGCTGGCTCAAGCGGCAGGGTCTGTTCTGCTTGCCTGGCCCCAAGCCCTCCCCCCAGGGGCCAGCAGCCCAGCCCCCTTTCCATCTCACCACCAACTTTCCCACCAGCCCCACAGCTTCTGTCCTGATGACCCCAAAATGCCCCAGAGTAGAAGGAATCCACGTCAAGAGTCAGGCTCCCTGCTCTACTGTCCCACCTCTCCCAAACAGAAGAGACTGCGGCCTGCCTTGCAGGGACAGTTGCAAGCCACCCAGTGGACCGGCACTCTCGCTTAGAGGCCCTTTGTTTTACAAGCAACAGTTCTCCTAACAAAAATATGCAGCGTCACTAAAATCAGTCTCCGAGAAGATGAGAATGGACCAAACTAACACAAAATTTTAAAACGTGAGCCTGAGAAGATCCCGGAAATTAGAGGCCAGCTACCCTGGTGAAAACTCTTCATCGAAGACTGAAGAACAAGGCCTGCTGAGGGGAAATCAGCATGGCTTCTGGTAAGGGAAGTCCTATCTCATCAGGCATTGGGAGTTCTTTGAGAAGATTAACAAGCATGTGGGTAAGGGAGATCTGAAAGACAAAATATACTGGCAAGTGACCTCACCAGAGATTCCTGAGCAAGCTTAGCAGTTGGGATAGGAGAACAGGTCCTCTTATGGATTAAAAATTGGTTAAATGACAGGAAGCAGACAGTGGGAATGAATGGACAGTGCTGGAAGTGAGCAGTGGAGTCACACAAGGATTTGTACTGGGGCAGGGGCTGTTTAGTATGCTCGTCAATGACCTGGAACTGGGACCGAGCAGTGTAGTGGTTAAGTCTGCAAATGGCACAAAATTATTCAGAAGAATGAAAACCAGCACTGACTGTGAAGGCCCCCCCTCCAGAAAAATGCTTTTATTGACGCAGTGCTCTTTTGGGATTGTTCACTGCCACCCTACGTATCACAAGTATGCGCTCTCCCCTGCCAGGACAGGCATTCAGCTGATCCGGGCAGCCTCTAGGGGGATTCTTTATCTGTCTCTTGGTGCCCACGTGAGGTTTCCCTCCAGTTGCCCACTCTTCAGGTGTGACCCTTCTGGAAAGAACACAGCCCGAGCCACCCGGATGGGAAGGAGTGGATTCTGGGAGGCCTGCCCATACTGGTGCCCTTTCCCTTCTGCCAGCCCATTACGCCACCCCTGGAGGTATCCAAGAAACAAAACAGCAATGGCTACTGCTCGACAGCACAACCACACCCGAGTAACCTGCTGCCACAATAGGCTGAGGGGAGTCGCCGTGTTGGTCTGAAGCCGCAGAACAAAGTTTGAGTCCAGCCGGGGCACCTTTCAGGCCAACGCAGCTTATCCGGAATTAAACTTTGCTGGTCTTAAAGGTGCCACTGGACTCAAACTTTGTTCTGTTGCCACAATCTAGTACTTCCTTCGAATTCCTAGCTGAAAAAAATCATTTCTCACTTTGGCCTCACCTTGGCACACAAAAAATGGCACAGCATGGGGCAAGGGAAGTAAAAATGGCCGCTGGCCAAAGGAAAAAAAAACACGCAGCGAAGCACAAAACTCCCGCAGTGGGTGTTCTGCCTCAAGCACGAACACACCTCTTGGCGTTCACTGCAGAGGGGGCTGGGGAATGGAGACTCCTCCCCACGTGGGCACCCCCTGCCCTGGCCAGCAGCCCAGGCATGGTGTGCGGGCGAGGCACCCAGCACCAGCCCCCAGGGCAGAACTCACCTGGGCACAACTCCCCAGAGCAGCTCTGGCTGGCGAGATACCCGACCTCCTGGCAGGTCACAGGCCCAGGGCCTACCATACTTTTAGGGGCCCATGGAAATGTTTTAATTTCTTTTAAAATCAGAGGAAGGAAATGAACGTTTGGGGTATAAGAAAATGTTTTAATTTTTTTTCTCACATCAGGAAAAAAGGCAATGTTTGGGGCTCATGAAAATCTATTAAATTTTGCTTAAAACAGAAAATAAAATGTTGACATGTTTTAAAAGTCTGGGGCAAGGGATGCTCTGTCTTCTTGGTGCTTGGGGGGCCACAGTGGGGGGGCTCCTAGTGCCCTGGCCCCACTGGTGGACCTCCTGATGGCACCTGGTATTTCTGGCCACTTTGTGACACAGAGTGTTGGACTGGATGGGCCATTGGCCTGATCCAACAGTGGCTTCTCTTATGTTCTTGTCTGGGGCAAGGGATGCTCTGTCTTCTTGGTGCTTGGGGGGCCACAGTGGGGGGGCTCCTAGTGCCCTGGCCCCACTGGTGGACCTCCTGATGGCACCTGGTATTTCTGGCCACTTTGTGACACAGAGTGTTGGACTGGAGGGGCCATTGGCCTGATCCAACAGTGGCTTCTCTTATGTTCTTGTCTGGGGCAAGTGATGCTCTGTGTTCTTGGTGCTTGGGGGGGGGGCAACAGTGTGGGAGGGCTTCCAGTGCCCTGGCCCCACTGCTGGACCTCCTGAGGGCACCTGGTATTTCTGGCCACTGTGTGACACAGAGTGTTGGACTGGAGGGGCCATTGACCTGATCCAACAGTGGCTTCTCTTATGTTCTTATGTATGGGGCAAGTGATGCACTGTATTCTTGGTGCTTGGGGGGGGCCAACAGTGTGGGAGGGCTTCCAGTGTCCTGGCCCCACTGCTGGGCCTCCTGAGGGCACCTGGTATTTCTGGCCAGTGTGTGACACAGAAGAGTGTTGGACTGGAGGGGCCTTTGGCCTGATCCAACAGTGGCTCCTTCTGATGTTCACCTGCTGCAGCTCACCGGAGCATAGGCGTAATCTTCGTGGGGGCGACGGGGCGTGAGCCCCCGCCGAAATTTTCAGGAAGGTACTCAGCCTCCCCCGGGAGCCACCCTTGCTCCTAGCAAAGCAATGCCTCTGGTCCAGCCCCAGCCCCCCCCGGGAAATTGGAAAGTCTACACCCTTGGTTTTTAGCCCAATGTTAGAGCGTCCCCCGTGCAATGTGCCCAGTGCAATGATGTTACCTCTGGGTGACGTCATCACGCCGGGCATGACAGGTGCAGTGGGGCTCTTCGAGGGCAGGGCTCTGGCCGGCAGCAGATTGGGGACCCCAAAATCGGGGGAACCCCTGCCCCCATTGGGGGGATGGCAGCCCTGTGAAAGACAAATAACATAATGGCATGATTTTATTTTTAATTTTATTGATTTTATTGATTTTTATCCTGCCCATCCGGCCTAGGCTGGCCCTGAGCGGCTTACGACAGAGTAAAAGTTCACAGAATACATAAAACACGATTCATTACATTAAATACAATTTCTCATACATAGTAATACAACAATATAAAAACAATGTTATAATCAAACATGGTGTTAAAGTGCAATTAAAAATATCCGGTATCTAAAACTACTTCCTCAACGATGCCCACATAAAAAAGGTAAAAATATTTATTTTAAAAACACTTAATCTAAATCACAGCTGCTGTGTAACAGGCAAGACTAAACTTGTCTAGAAGGGCTTTTAGCATGTCCCAGCTCATTTGGGAGGGTATTCCACAGGTGGGGGCGTGGCATTCTTCTGGCATTATAATTGATCCCCAGGCTACAGAGATCAGTTCTCTTGGAGGAAATGATGGCTTCAGAGTGGACTCTATGTCATTATATCCCACTTAGCTCCCTCCCCTTCTCAATCTCCACCCTCCCCAGTCACTGCCCCCAAACCTTCAGGGGACTGCGGGCAAAGGCATCCGCCCCGCCCCGCGGCCGCGCCCCGGCTCTCTCTCTCACCCGCTCGCGGGCTTGGCGCTCGGCGTCCACTTCGCGCTGCAGGTGCTGGGCGCGCTCCTCGGCTTCGTCGGCCACTTGTTGCAGCGTCTGGATCTTTTTCTTGACCGCCTCGATGGAGCTGCTCCCGGCCATCTTCCGGGGCCGGCGGGGAGCGCCGCGGGCGGCAGGGTCCCGTCGGGGAGGCCGGGAGAGAAGCCAGGCGGGTGGACCGCCGTCCGTCGGCCGAGGTGGGGTGCTGGCGGGCTGGGCCGAGTCCGCCCGCCCACCGGCCCGGGAGGGAGGGAGGGAGGCCGGGCAGCCAGGCGTCCTGGGAAGGAAGCTCGCCCGGCCGCCCGCCCCGCCGGGGCAGCCGCCTCTCTTCGCCTCTGTCCAGGAGCAAAAGAAAAGCCAAGGCGCGCTGGTTGGGGGGGGGGGGGGGCCCACGAGGCCCTTTCTCCGGCCGAGCCTTCCTCAGGGAATCCTTCTTAAGTGCCCCCCCCCCAGTTCCAGGGAGGTTGACTCTGGGGTGCCTGTGGCGCCGGAGACTCCGACGGAGTTTTGCTGCGCAGGGGGGGCGCTCCCTCACCCCCCCCCCACATTCACTGAGCCGAGCAGAGGATCACTGCCCTCGCCTTCCAGTGGTCCCCCCATGGGCAGGGCAAGATCCTGCGCGGGGCCGCCTGCAAGTGCCCAGGGGGCTCACGAGTGGAGGTGGCAGAAGCTGTCCTGGGTACGGAGCCTCTTCTGGCTGCGTGCCCCACGGCTCCCTCTGGGGCGGAGCTCAGGAGGCTCCCTCTCGGGCTGGCCGCTCTGCAGCAGGGAGGCTGCTCAACCTCCACTGGCCCGGCCCCTGCGCCGGTTGCCCCTCAGCCAGCATGGCGACCACCCTGCCCCCAGGGCAGCAGCTGGAAAACAAACGAGGGCCTCAGCCCCAAGTGAGGTGCCCCTCGGCGTCCAAGAGGGAGGGAGCCTTGGCCTCCCTGGGCCCAGGCCCCTCCTTCCACAAAAGGAGGTTCTGCAGTGGGAGCTGTGGCAAACGACAGTGGGCCTGGGCTTGGCCTTCAGGGCTGGGGGTGTGCCAGGCAGAGCCGTCCTGGGGGGTGCCACTCCGTGAGAGCAGAGAGTGCTCCTGTCTTCCTGGTCTTCCGTGACCCCCAATTCCACTTTCTTGGCGTGAGGGGAAATGACTTCCGGCCTTACACGTTTGAGGTCTCTGAAGCGACCTGGATGTTCTCTGGAGGAGCCCACGGGCCTGGCTCTTCCCCCGGCCTCTTCCCGTGCGTCCGGCATCATCTCCATCCGTTCACCCAAATCTCTTACCCTGGAGCAGAGTCCGGTGGCGTGGGGGGACACCTCCAGTAGATCCAGCTTTGCAGGTGGGCGCTTTCACCCCCACAAGATGCACTGGAGGAAGGAGGTGTTCCGGTCGTGCTGTACAGTGGGTCCATACCTGTGATGTGTGATCTGCCTGGGATCCTCAAGTGTCTCTGGAGTGGAGCTGCGAGCAGGAAGTGGCTCTTCCCAGGAGTGGCTTCTGGCGGGTGCCCTCAGAAGGGGGTGGGCGGCTGGGGCACTGGGTGACTTCAGCCACTAAGCCCCCCCCCGGGGGGGGCGCCTTGTTGGGGTTGGTGTGGACAGCTGTGGGCCTGTCTGGGGGGAGGGGGGACGGATCTGCTCCAGTCCACCTGGCAGGTCATGCACTGGATGCGGCAGGATGTGGTTCTGGAGAGAGGGCAGCAGTGGACCCTTTTCACAGACCGGTCATCCCCCTGGTGAGCCTGGGATCCACTTGTTCTCCTGGTCCCCATGAGAGGACAAGTGTTTAAAAGGTCTGGCCGGGGGGGGGGGGGGTTTGGGGAGGGGTGGGGGAGTTCTGAGCTGACCTTGTCCTGTCGAAACCCTGGCTGACCTCTGACACCAGATGCTGGCCTGGCCACTTGACTCAGTAGCTCTGAGGCCCCCTCCTCCTCCTCCTCCTCCTCCCCCCTTCAGAAAGGAGGTGACTGCATGGAACTCAGGAGGGGTGCTGGCCCTGAAGTGGGCTGGATGGTGGCTTGAATGCAGGTGGCAGAAACCAGCCGAACTGAAGAAGGCAGGCCACAGCCCTGAGGACACTTTCCTGGGATGACGCCCTGTGGAGCAAAATGGATGACTCCCCTGAGGGCCACGGGAAGACCGGCTCCCTGGCTGTGTTGACAACAAAGAGCTCTCAGCTCTCTGCCAGTATTGTTTGTCAAAGCGTCCTCCAGTGGAGTGGTTTGGGTTGTTAAACCCCTTGTGTAGCCCTCAGTCGTAGGTCAGATAGAACTCTATGCACTCCCCCCACTGGGACTTCCGTGCAGACTTCATTGCGGAGAGATCTCGCTGTGACTCTTGAGCCAGACCCTTGGTCCACCCAGGCCCGTCTCGCGCATGGTCTCCTCGGACCGGCTGTGGCTTCTGCCCTGGTCTCAGGCTGGCATCTTCCAGGCATCCCCTGTGAGTGACCTGAGTCATCCAGTGGCGGCTCCAAGGACTGGACCCAGGGGGCCTTCTGTCCGCTGAGCCCTGGCTCTGTGGCTCCCCCCCCCAAGTTGACTTGGAGACCACGTGAGATGAATGCTGGTTAGTCTGACCAACTCTGACAGATGACAGAGAGAAAGCAGAAAGGCCCAATGCCTCTTTTGCCTCAGTTTTCTCCCTGAGGAAGAGAACAGGCTCTTCTAGAGAGGACAGTCGGCAAATCACAGCATCTGGGCTGCCGGTTGACGTGGACAGAGAGGTAGTTGAAAAGCACCCAGTTGCACTGAATGAGTACGGATCCCACGGGGGCCCAGAAGGCGTGCACCCCAGAGTGCTCAAAGAACTTGCAGAGCCTTTGCCCATCACCTTCCAGACCTCTCGGGGGGACGGGAGACGGTGGGCGCCACAAGACGGGAGGAGGGGAGATGTGGTCCAGTCAGCCTGATCTCTGTCCCAGGGAAGATACTGGAGGGGACTTACGACCGTGTATCTGGTATCGGGTGTAGCCAGGGTGGACAATTTGGATCTCACTTTCCCCTCCTGCCCTGAGGCTGAGGTCGGAAATGGCCACCAGAGATGATGGAGGCGTTTCAGCTCTGGGAGGCTGGCGGCCGTGGCCATTCCAAGTGTGGCCAGGTGGTCTCAAAAGCTCCCTGTTTTGCTTCTCGGAGGCCTGCTTAGTGAGTATAAAATGAGGCCTTCCGCGTTCCGGCCTGGCGCTCTTGGAGGCACACTGCAAAGTCCCCTCTCCTCGGGAAGGAGTTTTCCTCATCGTGGCCCATTTCTGCTCGCCCGTCCTTCCTCACCACGACTGGCCTTGAGGCCTCACGGGGAAGGAGCTGCTGTCCAGAGGCCACCTTCCTCAGTGACCAGCTGCCTTTCCCTCCTTGGCTCAAGAGACTCGGCTACCAGGCAGTAGCCACAGAACACCGCCCAGAAGGCTAGTTAGAGCAGCGATTGGAGCCGGGAGGAGGGTGCTGGGGAGAAGGGCAGGGGGGTCGAGGCCCCCTGGCCAGGCACTCCATAGGGTCAGGGGGATGGCCTCTGCATGCCCCCTGTTAAGAAGCCGTCTGGCTTCAGCCGTGACCTCAGGAAGTTCTGCGCCCTGCCTGGTGACACCACTGCCGCCCATGAGGTGGTGCGGGGGGGGGGGCTGCACATTTCTCACTCGTTTTTACCCGCCTTTCCTCCAGGGAGTTCACAGCAACAAGGGTCATTTTCCCTGGGATGAAATGAGATTTCACACCCAGGTATTTGTGTAAGGAAGTTCCACTTTGTCTTGTGAACATTGGGCTTACACGATGGGAATGCTCAGAGGTTAAGCTCAAATTCCCCATACAGAGAGTGTGCCAGCCCCACCCTGATTCCAGGCTGCAGAGTTTGGTGGCTGTCCAGCCATGGCGATGCCAAGGAGGATGTGGGGCAGCGAGGGACGCCTTCGCTTCCTTCTCCCTGGTGGGAGGAGGTCTGGAAGAGGAAGGCCTCCCGGGAGTTAAGGAGCCATTGTTGGAGAGGAGCAGGCATGCTTTAAGCACTCTTATTTTATTGCTTTTAATTTTAATTGTGAATCGATGTATTTTCCCCATTGATGTACACTGCCCTGAGCCCTGTTCTGCAGGGGAGGGTGGTCAGTTTTTTTTTCTAATTTAACAAATAAATAAGTAATGCTTTGGAGGCACGGAGACCTCCCCAAGGAAAGAGTCACACGCAGGCGCCTGCTGGTGAGGACTGGAGTCTGAGCAAGAAACCTGAAGCCACGAATGTGTTTCTGCCGGTCTCTTTGCCCACACAGAGAGGAGCGGCAGACCCAGGGAAAGAAAATACGGTTGTTCCTAATCTGTTTCCTCTACGCTGAGATGCTAATCTGTTGCAGCTCAACTGTGTGCTTTTACCCGCTGTGTTGAGTGATTGTTTTCATGCTTTAAGAGACAACTTTCTCTTCCTGAAATTGGCCTTTGAAGCCCCATGGACAAAGCTCCATGCTGCGGCTCACGAGAATGTCTCGAATGGGAGAGCTTTTGAGAATTCCTCCCCACCTCTCTCTCCATGGGCCGAATAAAGGAGGGGATTCTGAACTGTGGAGAATCTGCCTTCAGGCTGGCAGGCTGGGATTCCGACAGTGGCCTGATGGTGGCAGTGGAGAGTAAGCCCTGTTTGTGAAAGGGGATGAGCGGGAGGGGGCTGGGGGGGGGAGAGAGAGCTCTGGAGACCCAGGCCAGAGAGACTAAAGCCCTTTCTTCTCTGTGTGGTGAAAACAAGGGCCCGGGGGAGGGGCATTCTTAGTGTACTCCCCTTCTCCATTTTGTCCTTGCAACAAACCTGTGGTGTAGGCCGGGAGGGAGGGAGAGTGACGGCTGTTACATCACCCAGCAGGCCGGGCCCTTTGGCACAGTGGGGGGTTGGATCTGGACCTCTGGCATCATAGCCTGACCCTCCAAGTGCTACACTGGTGGTGGTGGTGGTGGTGTCCAATTTTGATCTACCTTTTCTAATGTCTTTGAATATCCAGCTCGGACTCCTCTACTTTGGCTATAACCACCTGGTGGTTTGTCTCTTAATTGTGAGTGTTTTAAACCCCCTGGACAGGATTCCTGGCATGACCGCTGAGCCACGTGAGCAGGCGGTCCAGGGGAGATCGGTGGTTGCCTGTGCTCTGGATTAAGCCCCACTTGGAAACCCACTTTTGCGTGGGAAAGGGAGGGCAGCCGCTCAGAGCTGCAAAGGGGCACTTGTATAGATTGTCCCCAGTCTATGCAGGACTGCCCCCCCCTCTACAAGTTGATGCTTGCGGGGGGGGGGATCAGGCACCCACCTCGGGGGTGTCCCCCACCTTGGTTTGTCCCTCCTTTCCCCCTCTCTAGAGACAGGCCTCTATGACACTGTCTATGACACTGTGTCATAGATGCAATGAACATGAAGTTGAGCAAACTTCAGAGGACGGCGGAAGATAGGAGGGCCTGGCGTGATCTGGTCCACGGGGTCGCGAAGAGTCAGACTCGACTGTGCGACTGAACAACAACAAAAGAGACAGGCCTGTCTGGGGCTGTGCAGCTAAGTCAGGGAGGAACATTAGATCATGTCTGGGGAGAAACCACAAGTTTCTCTTAAGGTGAGTCCCTCCCTGCCTGATGAGCAAAGCAAATCTAGATCCCGGAGCATCGAGGCCCAGGCCTGGCATCCTCCCGTCTCGCCCCCCCCCCCCCACCCCCCCCCTGCCCCCCCCCCCTCCACAACAACAACCCTGGGGGGGGGGTTCTTCCAGGAAGGGGTGGTGCCCCCCCCCCCGCAGAAGGATGCCTCTGTTGCAATTCAGGGCTGTGGAGCCCTTTAAAGCCCCAGCCATTGGGGGTGGGGGGGGCCAGGCACACAGGTGTCAGAGATGCGGGACGAGGGGCCTGGCTCTTGAGACCCTCCAGAGTCTCAGAGCACCCTTCAGTGGGGAGGCTTGTGGGGCAGGGCCCATGCCACACACCTGCGCGGCACTCAGCCCCTGGCATCCTGGTTCAAAACCATGTTCTGCCCGAATCACTCAGAAGAAGGTCTTCCCCTCTCTCAGGGTCGGTGCTCCCCTGCTCACGGCCGATGGCCTTACACAGAGGTTGGCACGCGCCTGCTCCTAGCAGCGCTTCGAAGCAGGGTGGTTCTTTCCAGAGGAAGGTGGGGTGAGACTTCAGAGGGCTCCAGCCAAGCCAGAATTCAAACCCTTGGCCAGGCAGGCCCTCCCAAGTGCAGTGGCACTGGCTGGCTGGCAGGGAGAAGAGCTCCTGGCCTGTTGTGGCCTGGATAAGCTCACGTCTGTCAGCCCAAGACCTGCGGAGGAGGAGGTGGGGAAGTCACTGAGGCCCGAGGTGGGACCTCCTCCGGTCCCCCTCCTGGATGATGATGATGGGATGCCCTCACTCTGCCTGGCATCCAATCGGCTCCGGCACATTGCAGAAGACTACCTTGGGGCATGCGGCATGGATTGTGCCACCCCCTGCCCCCCCCAAAAAAGGTACAGCTGTGCAGTGCTCCCTCTATGCTGTGGAGTCCTCCTGTGAGCAAAAATCCTACTTTGTGAGCTGCTGGCCTTAAAGTTGTGAGGCAGGGAGTTGGCTGCTGCATAGATTAATTTGCTCTGGAGCCCCATCCCTTCCTGAGCTGGGACAAAAATGTGTGAGCCCGAGGCTAAAAAACTGTGAGCTAGCTCACACCGACTCGGCTTAGAGGGAACATTGCAGCCATGTACGGAGCAAAGGGATGGAGTGGTCTGGGAGGGGGGGGTTGTGGGAAGCACTTCTGCCCCCGGGAGGCAGGGAGCCAGGGACCCGGCAGGGGGGGGATCTGGGCCCTCTGTGGGGCAGGCCCCGTGCTCCCTGCAGCTGCTCCTTCAGCAGCCTCTGCCCCCCAAGCCCCAGCCCCACCCCAGGGGAGGGCAGCAGCCGCCGCAGGGCCCGTCCCGTCAATCTCCTCCCTCCTGCTGGGGAATCACCAAATATGAGCAAAGGCAGAGGCTGGGCTGGAGACGCAGCCAACTGCTCTGCGGAGAGCTTGGAATCTCCCCCCCCCCCCCCCCCCCCCCCGCCAACGCACTGGGCCTCCCTCGGTGTTGCCTGGGGGGGAGGCGGAGGCTCGCCAGGGACGGGACAGGACCCAGATGCAAGATCTGCCTCAGCAGCAGGCAGCCGGCGGCTGGGCCGGCAGAGGGCTCCGGGGGCGGCCAGCCCTTAACGACGCCTGCAGGGTCCCTAACCACGTGGGCTTGTGTGCAGGGCGGCAGGTTTCCGGGGGGGGAACACTTCCCGCGAGGGATGGTAGAGGAAGGAAGGAGCTGACCGGCGGGCCCAGAGGCCGACTGGCCTAGAGGGGCTGCGGGCGGGCGGGCGCCGCGGAAGGGCTGCTGGCTGGGGGCCTGGTCACGGCCCGCGGGGCCTCCTCCTCCCGGGAGACCTCCCGCTGATACCCCCCCCAGGGAGTCAACAGCCGATTACACCTCCCCCCCGCCGCCGCCGCCCTGTCCTCCGGGGCCCTCGCAGCGGCTGGCAGCTGCCTTGTCCCTTCCCGTCGGGCTGCCGTCGGATCTGACCCCCGCCTCCCCTTTTTAGCTCCCGCAGGGGGTGGGGGGCCGCGCGCGGAGGAGGAGAAG